TTCAAAGAGAGGAAAGATCCTTTCAACAAGGGGCAAATTTTGGGGGAACATTATGCAGCTGTTATTTAACAAGTAGCTACACTGTCTTATCTTGATTGGAGATGTATCCTCAACTCCAAGCTGAGGGACAAACTCAAAGTTCACTGATGCTGAGATCCCAGACTCCTGAACGGGGGATAGGACAGTAGTGAAGCATGGTCTGGATCTACATGACCCCATTCAGACGGTGATCAGGTAAGGACCATTTATGATTTTATGCCCTCCCTCTGCCTTGCCTCTCCTGTACACTTGCAGAGGTCCCAGATCCTAGGAACACTGACTGCAAGTGCACCACACATCTAGTATTGCACAGAGCAAGCAGACACTTTTCTTGGGATGCTGCTAACCATTCTGTTCTGCTCCACTTGTTTTCATCTTAAAATAGCATTTGCTCCCCTGTGAATTTGTCCTTTAATTCAGAGATATTTTGATTTCTGTTGGATAGATTAACGTGCTTTTTCAAACTGGTTCTCCTCTTATGGATGACTCTGTGTTCGTATTACCCAGGGAGCTGCCCTGAGTGAACACAGCGGCTAAAAGGCCAGGCTGAAACCTCACAGCTCTGTGACCATCTCTGCTGCTGGGGACTAATCCCCAGTCACCATTCCTTAGCTTTCCTCTCTGTGACATGGGCCTGGTGCCATCTACCTCCTTTTGAAAGCACTTTGGGACACACAGATGAGAAGGAGGGCAGAAAAAGTAGCTGGTATTACTGTCCCACCACCAAACATACACACACACACACAGATTTGCCCTATGTCACCTTTAGAAGAAAGATGTAGGGACAACTGCTGTTAGCTGTGAGCAGGCCTTGAGGCACCCCTTGGCACCTCCCCAAGCAGAGCAGTAGAAAGGCAGGCCCACTTACTTTGAGATGCTAATGATGAAACTTCTGTTCTGATAGTTTCTACCACAGCTTCACCCGGGGATCCCTTCTCACCCCGTGGACCTTTTTCAGGGAAAAAAACCCAAACAAACAGAAAGTGAATTATTTAGGTGAGGGTGACATTTTGTACCCACTCCTCACCTCCTTGACAACAGTTCAGACTTTGCTTATGTGGACTGGGAACACGAACTCACTCCCTGGCTCTGAGGGACACTGTATGCAAATGTGGAAATTACCACACAATTTGTCCTAACAGGATCACAGAAAACCAGCTAAGAAAGGTTCTTAGCTGTTCAGGCCCTTCCAAACAGATGCTGGTGCAATTGGTAGTGCTTTCTCAGTGACATTATTCCCAATTTGTCTCTAGTTTGTTCTTCCACCTTTCAAAATGGCAGGAGGTATCCAGCTGGGCTATGTCCCCTATCACAGAAAGGCAACTGGAGTTAAGAAGGGCTTTAGAAATACTAGCCTCTGGAAAAAATAATGTAAGAAAAAAAAGACATTTGCAGCATCCATTTGCAGCCATCACACTGGCTTTTACCACCCCCCTTCTTACCCCGGGAAAGAAAAAAAAAAAGAATAGAAATTCTTTACAAGATTAATTAAGCCAAATAATGCAGCAAAATGAACTGAAAGGAAGAAATCTGCAAACAAAAGGGAGAGAGATTGTGCCAAGGGCTGAGAAAATTAGAAACAAAAGAAGCCTAATGAATACAGTTCTCTTAAGAAGCAGAATCAAAGCTGATGGAGGATGGTACCTTGCTGTCCAGGGAGACCAGATGGTCCAACAGGACCTGGTTTCAAAGGAAAAAAAAAACAGATTGCATTAGATCTTCCTGGTTGTATTTTACAATAGGAAGAAAGAATCAATAGGTCTCTTGTAAGAACTGAGACTATCAAACAATGTATTTGTCTGCACAAGTAAATGGAATTGCTATGGGGAACAAATTCATCAATGATGTCCCATGTATTACTTGAAGCTCTGGAGAAGAGGCCTTATTTTCCATCAAGTGCTTGGTGCCTCTTAAGACTGGGGAGACAACCAGAATGTCACTGACCACAATAGAAATGCAATAGGCTGAACCTTCCTCTCACATTCCGTGCTGCAAATTGAAGCTAGCTCTAGCAAACCAGCTCCAGGATTAGCTCCAGCTATACAGCTGGGAGAGACACAGAAGAGCCATGAGAACCAGGGCTCAGGTGTGCTGGAGGGTAGTGCCTGACTTGAGACAGAGGAGTCTGAGGACCAAGCTCATAGCCAGAGTCTGTGTGTGTGTGTTTGTGTGTAAGACTTGTAGATGACCACGTGGGATTTCTTGAGTTCAAAGCTAAGACTGAAAAACAAGCACTTCCTGATTTCAGTAACAGCACCGGGAGAGGGAGTAGACACAAGTCTGATTTCCTGAGGGGCAAAAGAGCTTGATTCTACTCTTTGGATTTGACCTATCACTACTTTGTACTCATCAGATCAAAGGACAACAACAGTGTTCCTAGTTTCTTCAGCTTCTCAGCCCTCCCTTCTGTCCTGCTCCCCTGTGATTGTATCCCATTTCTCCCTTGAGGCTGCTGCCTCCCTAACTGAGCCTGAGATCTTGGTCTTTCTGCAGGGAAGGGTGAGGACCATGCATATCTAGACTGCCTGAGCAATCTTGCTTTCCAGACAGGGCGGCCTGGCAGAGACAATAAACATCACACATTAAATTAAGAACTGGATGCACAGCAATGCAAGTTGCCTGCAAAAACCACAGCAGAGGAGCAGCTTCCTCACCTGGAACACCTGGTGGTCCAGTGGGGCCAGGTGGACCTGGGGGACCTGGTGGGCCTGGCAGAGCAACAGTTGACAAACCCTCTGAAAAACAAAAACATACACTTGCACACATGCACATATATACACACATCCAGCGAACCTGTAACAAAACTATCCTTAAGGAATCACACTTGTGTAGCACATGTATTCTCCCAACACAGGGAGTCCAAGAACACTCGAGATGAAATTTAGGAGGCACAACAAAAAAAAAAAACAAACAGAGAAAATCCTCCAAAAGCAGAAGTGTTTGAACTCTCACAGCACTACATACCAGCACTTATGACTTTTCCTGGAGCTCCAGGTTCTCCTATGAAAAGAAAGAGACAAAAGATTAACTTTTTTGGGGAAGATTTGTCACTAGCTCAATGACACTGTCTTATTAAACTTCATTTCTGTTCTCTTTGCCCTTGATCTCATCTGAGAAGTCATAGCACTAGAAGGTCTTGGGGGAAGCAACAGAGCTCAGCTAATCCAGAGATACCCTCTGATCAGCTTTCCAAGCGCCACATCTGCCTGAATAGGCAACAGGCCTTGATTTATCCGAGGCAGGCAAACAGCTGCCACTGCAGTCACCAGGCATCACACTCTCACGCTCAGGGCAGAACCAGGTTCGGTAAGGTTTTCTCAGTGGAGAACTGTTATGCTGAGTGCCTCAGCAGATACCCTGCTTTCCATGTTTGCTCAAGGAGGCTTTGGTCTGTTTCTCAAACCTTCCCTTCCTAAAGCCACTAGATGCCACTGTTGATTCAGGGACTGGTCAGCATAGCAGCGAATCCTCCCTAAAATGAGGTGCTTAGAGAGAAAATGAGTATTAGGGAAGAAACAAAACTCACCCTTAGCCCCTGGTCGGCCTGGGTTGCCTGGAAGTCCTGTTATGAGATAGATGAACAATGTAAAATGGTTAGTGCAAGTATTGTTTGTTCTATTTTTTCCAGGTACTCCTCATCCTCTGTTTCCACCTCTATTGCTACATCCTCTCCCCTTTGTTTCTGCTTCTGATCAGAATGACTTTTCAGTGATGCACAGGGAACCGAACATCTTATTTGTTGCAAACTATGAGAGGCAAATTTTCAAACACTCCAGTTTCTACATTCCTCAAAAATTACACACCAACCACAAAATCTGTCTCAAGAGCCAAGGGAGATACAGAAACCTTGGGATATCACTGTGGAAACTGTGGGCAGCACAGAGGGAAAATTGCAAAGGGTTTTTGAACCCATATCAAAGTGTGTCATTGATAAATTGGAACACAGTTGAAAAACCTGCCTGGTGGTCCTTGGGGTCCTGTGAGACCTGAAAGAAAAAAACAAAAATTCTAAGATAAAAAAAATTTCAGGTGGGGAAAGAATAGACAGGGAGAAAAAGACTACATTTACTTAAAATTATAGCACACAGCCCACAAGTGGTGTAAATTGGCCTAGCAACTGGTATGTAAACTGAATGCTGGCTCATGCTGGCTGATGTTCCTGCTTGCAGTGTGTACAATCCTGAAATCGTAAAGGGTTTAGATTCCCTGTGTGTTTTCCTTTCATCACCATCTTACAGTACAGAGATCCTCTGCCAGCCTTAACTTCAAATTAAGACTGGAAATTGTTGACAAAGACATCTGTGCTCCTGACTGAGCAAAAAGTATTTTTGTTCTCTGTATGTTTTTACCTGGCTGTCCTGCATCTCCAGACGGTCCTGGAGGGCCTCGGGCTCCAGGCATTCCCGTAAGACCCGGTTCACCTAGGGATATAATCAGCATTAACAAGCCAGAAGTTGCTGACTTAAATCTACCAATCAATTCAAGCTTGGCCACCAGCTTTCCAGCAGCACTTTCTACCTCTTGTATCCTCATAGCCTACTGGCCATTTTCAGCATCAGTGTCTGGGAGGTGAACATCCGTAAGAGAAGAGTTCTGTGGTGAGAACTCTTTCACAAGTTTACAGGCAGCTCCATTATATGTCTCAGTTCCATGCTTACATAGTTGACTCTACGAGTTCTTCTGAGACAGCAAGATACCAGAACATTAATCTGCTGCCATCTTCTCCCACCCCTTTTGCAAAACAACCTCCTGCTAAATCATAAAGTACCTGCAGTTCTACCTCAAAGGAATCCCTTACCTTTTTCACCTGGCTGTCCATCACGACCAGCTTGTCCTGTCCAAAGAAAAGAGATTGTTAAGGACGGTTGAAATAGTGCCACAGTTGCCCTGTCCTCCTACTAAGCAGAGCACAGCCCTAAACACAGTAGATGGTGTGATAGTTTAACTTAGCTGGCAGCCAAATAAGACACAGCCACTGGCAGCCTCCTACTCCCCTTGCCCCCTTCCCCCCCACCCAGGGAATCGGGGAGAGAATTGGAGGGGTAAAAGTGAGGAGATTTGTAGGTTGAGATAAGAACAATTTAATAATTAGAGTAAAAATAAAATTAAAATAAAAAGAATAATAAGAGAAATAATGATAACAACTATATATCTATGAGTGACGCAGAGTACAATTGCTCACCACCCACTGACAACGATCCCGGAGGAGTGAAAAGGAACCTCGAAACCAAAATCGCAATCCCAGAAAAATGAGCCTGAGCGATTCCCTAGAGAATCCCCCCCTTTCTGGTCAGCCCTGATTAATACATTAAACATGATGTAATATGCTATGGAATATCTTATTGGCATATCCAACTGTCAATTCTGGGTTTTACTAACTACTACACTTTTCTTCTCCACTCCCCCCTTCCAGTCCTCTGTTCTTGGAAAGTACCCAAGCATGGTGCCCTTGTAGTTATCAACATTGTTCTCATAACAATCCTCACTGAAACCAAAACACAGTGCTTTCTAGCTACTAAGAAGAAAATTAACCCTATCCTAGCAAAAACCAGGACAGATGGCTTTTCATTGTATTGCATCTGAAAGAAACCTTGGCTGCAGTTACCAAAGATCCAGAAAAAGTTCACTTGATACTTAGCTGTAGGACATCTTTTCTGAGTATGCAGACTAATCTTAGCTATCCAGAGAAAAGACCTAGGACCACAACCAGTATGATTCCACACCCATGTTGTTTCCTTGTCTGTGCTCATAGAAACACACTCTGGGTGGAAATTATATTACCCAGCATCCAAATACAGCTGCTTTTGTTACCCACCTACAGGTCCTTTAGCCCCTGGCTCTCCTGGAGGTCCAGGCATTCCTCTTGAGCCTTGTTCACCTGTAGCGAAATGGTATGAAAATGAATCAAACAAATCTTGGTGAAGATACAATTTATGACTGTCATCAATATTTGTTGTGTTGCAATTGAAAAACAGCATTGACAGGATGTTCAGGCCTCATGATTCTTGACTGTCTCTGGGCATTAGAAAAGCTCAAGTGAAGCAAATGCAGGGTATGTGAGGGAGAATTTCCCTAAAACTAAATACAAAGATTGCTACCAAGATTACTGGAATCGAGAATGGAATCTATATGTTTAAAACTTGGATGCAAAAATAAAACTTCTAGAAGCAATAACATCATTATACTTTTTCAGAAAGCTAACTGGGATTGACTGGGCTAAACTGTTATTTGAAAACTCAAATAATGCATGAGTATATTAGATAGGCTGTTACTCCAGGAAAACAATCCACTGACCTGTCATTCCACGAGGACCCTTCTCACCCTGATCACCTGTGGTACAAAAAAGGAAAGGATTCTGTGAGATTGTTTCATTGTAAAATGTTTCCACCAGAGAAAATAAAGTCTGCTTTCTGACAAGAAAAAGCCAAAGAAGGATGGGGTTAATACCCATAGATAGTATCCACATCTGAAGAAATCTAAAGAAAATATCCACAAAAGATACTTAATTGTTCCACACACCTTTGGGTCCAGGGGCTCCAGTGGCTCCTTTCTCACCTGAAAGATATATGGATGATTGAAGAATAGTAATAACAAGTCAGAAGGAAAAGGAATTTCATTCATCAAGTAAAGCCATAGGGGAAATATAGGTACTCTGATATCAGACAAACTCAAATTGGAAATTCCTTTCCCTCAATACAGCTCCATCCATTCAACCATGTTTTCTTTCTAGACTATTCTATTAACTCTGTGTCTGTTGTATTTCTCAATATTTACTCACAATCACTGACTAAGTCTAGTTCCTCCTCCCCTTTCCTCAGTCTTAAGCTTTTTTTTGCTCCTAGCATCAAAATTCTACATGCTCAAACTAAGTAAGTCTGCTGCTCAGAGAAGTGCTAGAAAAGTACATCAGCTAGTGCTGTTGCAATTGCCGAGTGGAAGAGAAGCTTACCTTTAGCACCTGGGAGACCTGCTTCTCCTCTAAATCCTTGTAGGCCAGGAGGACCTGCAGAAAAAATGAGATGAGGAGGTTAACCCATCTCACTCACCGTTAGGCATCACTGAAGAAGAAAGACTATGAGAAGCTGTCACTCTGGTTTTGTTTTCTCTAGTCTGTAGATGCCATAGCAAAGGAATGCAGCACTCACCTGGAGGACCTTGTGGGCCTGGAGAACCCATCAGACCTGTGAATAAGGAACATAGATTTTCTTTCAGTAACACCACAATTAGAAAATGAACAAATCTCTTTTGGTTTGCCCAACAGCATCCACAACTCAATAGGTGGATGGAGATTAGCAGATTGGAATTCCCGCAGCCACTAGAAGAATTTGCATCACTAACATTCTCGAAACCAGGAATAGAAATCTAGGCAACTCAGTTTTGGTGACATAGAGGAAGTGGTTTTCCCTAAAGCAAATTAAAGAGACTCAAGCCTTTCATCTTGGTTGAGATGCTGGAATCTGTGCTTCAGGTGGGACTTATTTTTTATAGTGTAATTTTTATCCCAGTTGCATGGATTGTAGAGCTGTAACTCTGTAAGAAGCCTGTTAGGGATGTGGAGTTTACCTTATTATTTCTGAAAGCAGAGAAAAAAACAGCTGGAAACATCACACATCTTACAGACTGGTGTTTTGAGAAACCTCCCTGCCAATCCCTACTATCACTAAAACTCTCCAATAATTTATTGCTCTAAAGGTTATGTGCACCTACCAGAGTAAATTTTATCTAAAATGAGGACCATTGGTTCACTTTTCTGATTACTGCAGTGCAACATAAGTGAAATAGGAAGACCAGAATGCTCATTTACTCCTAACCATTCTGCCAGGCTCTCTCTGTCCATCTTCTTATTTACCTTTAAGGCCAGCAGAACCTGGGGGACCAGGTGGCCCTGGAGGACCTGGCTCACCAACAGCACCTGCAGAATAAGAGCATGAATAGATATTGCAGAATACAATTTTGATTTAATTTTTCCATTATCCCATCTCCTGTTCTTTCTCTGACAAGTGTTGTGAATAACCCACTGGTCAGTTCAAAACACCCAAATAAGTATGCGTTGTCCAAGACAAAAATCCCATCTCACTGGGCTTTAGGATGAGGAAGACAAATCACCCAGCTTTGGTGACTTGGACAACACAGAAGGAGACAACCTTGATACTAAAGGGCTTCTGGTTCTGCCAAACTAAAACCTGACTGTGAGACCTGACAAAACAAAAAACCCTCTTGTTTACCCATTGTAAATTTAGCAAAAAAATCCCTTAGGCCAGATTTGTCTGTGCTGGGAAATGTCTAAAATGAAATCTGGATTTGAATAATCAAATCAAATTCTATCACTGAGGTATTTTATAAATTGGGACCAAACTCTAGTTTTTGTCCATCTCTGCTTTATCCAAGAGCAAGACACCTAGTTCTTACCTCTGTCTCCTTTCTCTCCAAACCCAGGTGGTCCAGGCTCCCCTCGAGGCCCTGGTAGCCCTTCTCGACCTCTTTGTCCCATGGGACCTTCCATGCCAGGATCACCTATAGGAAACAAATGCCTTCTAAAAAATGGTGTCTCGGGCAAAAGGACCCATGGCCACCTCCCTGGGGGAAGGCAATGATCACATCACACCAACCTGGTGTCTGTATTCCCATGCCATGTGTCAATCATTTGTGAGAGACTCACGGCTCGATAAAGATGCTTACCCATGCTGCCTTTCTGCCCTTTCGGTCCTTCTGGTCCTTGGTGCCCAATTGGACCAGGAGTGCCTGGGAAGAAAAACACAACAAATATTCAGAGTCCTTGTCTGTGTACCATGAAAGAATAACATGCAAACTAGGGGAACCTGAAGCCTGGAGCAATTAATCAGGTGGGGTAAAGAATATATTACTTGGAAGGTGGCTATTGAACAGGGTTCTCTTTAGAAGACTGCAATACATGTAAGAGCACAAGGAAGTTGGGCCAAGTATTCATGCAGCTTCTTTCAAAGGTAGGCTGGGATCTTCACGCCTCCAAATTAGGCCAACTAAGTGGAAGTCAGGCTGAGGCCTTGCTTTAAAACAAGTCTCTGAGCTGTGTCTGTAGCTCAGCACCAAGATAGTAATCAAGTGACTTAGTCTATGCTAAATATTGACTATTTAGAGAACCACCTCAAGCTCTTGCCTACAGTAATGTCACTAAACATCCTCCCTCAAAGGAGAATTGTACTACTGCCCACCTGGGATACCAGGAAGTCCTCGCTCTCCTGCAGGGAGAAAAAAACAGACAGTCAGTAAGGAATACGTCTCCCCTGCCATTTTGGTCAACCCTCACCCCCTAAAAAATGGAGTTTATGTTCTTGGCATGTTTACAAGTTCTACTGTCTCCAGCAATACCACATTGGCCTTCTTGTATTTATGCAATAGATTGAATCATGCACACCATGCAAAGTCCTCTGAACTTCTCTCTTATTAAACCAGGTAGAGCTTGGCTTCAGGAACAACTTTCATCCAGATGAAGAAGTTTCTAGATTCAGAGTGATGTTTTCTCTTCTATTGTGAACTCTAAAATTATCTTTGCGCAGAAGAAGAGCAAAAAAGCCCAACCATCACAACAATCTCTGAACTACAGAATGCATCAACTCCCCTAACTTCTGAAGTAACAAAAATCCATTTGCTACTCAGCCCCTATGCCAGGCTGCCAATCTACCTGAGAAAGCGGGTAACTACAGACTCACCTCTGGGACCTTGCATTCCCATGTCACCTGAGAAAAGAAAAAATAAAATAAAATCAGGAGAGATCCTGAAGATGTTTCCAGTGATTACTCATTCATTTTGTTTTTCTAGTTGCTGTCCCACCTTCAATAAAACGTGAAGGAGTTATGGGTGAATAAGGACATTTTACACTTGAATAGTGCAGGATCAGACCCATCCCACTAGTGGCAAACAGGATCTGGCCTTTCACACTGGCACAATGCAAGACTGGGCCTCCTGTATTAGTTCTGCATTGGATCTGCCCCTCTACAGTTTAAGCGGCAAACTAGCTTTACACTCTTTTTGTTCAAGCGTAAACCAGCTTCATCTTTCTCACTGCCAATTGCCCCTTGTGGCAACATCCAACTCAAACTTGAGCATTGCCAGAGCTAAGGAATAGGACAGGGGAAGAGAAGAATTATACGGCTGTACCTTTCTCACCAGGTTCTCCTCTCTCCCCTCGGAAGTAGCCTATAACGGAAGTGAAGGGGTTGTTAGAGTGCATTACACAGCAGAATAGCTACTCGCTTCATGTACAAGGAACCTTCTACTTGGATTTTGAGGCTGCAGACAGCACAGGCTCTCAAGTACAGCATGGCTTTGTAAGTAGAGTTTCCTCAGCAAATTTGCTTTTGCAAATCCATGAAACTTCTGAAGCTGGGAGAATGTAGGCTCCTCTGTTCTTAACCTGTTTCCATCATCTGCTAAACAGAAGTGAATCATCTTCCCCTTGCTAACAAAAGTAGCATGAGAAATAAGGTGTGGGTTCATTTTTCTGTGTAGTTCTTTCTAAATGGAAAACTCACTTCCTACAGCAAACATGCTTCATCCTGGCACAGGATGGCATGTCTGCAACCTCTTTTCTTCTCCCTTTTCTGCTGGCTTTGAGGGATGAACCACTAGTGTTGGTGGCAGCACCCTGAGCTCCAGCACAGCCTGTCTGTGAGGACAGGTGAGGGCACTATTTTTGACAGACTTCATTGCACTCCAAAACTCCTGGTCTTTAGGCCCTTGGGCAATCAGGTCTTCCTACACCCCTTTAAATAATCTGGTCTCATGCAGTATCACAGACATTAAATCTGCTCACCTCGTTCTATTTCCTTGTTCAGTCTGTTCTTCACCATCAACCAAACTGACTCTTCATTTTCATAAGCGAAGGTTGAGGAGGGTGAAATACCATGAAGAAAGTCTACTCTTGAAACATCCTTCTCTATTTTTGAATCCCTTTGGTTAATTGTCAGAAGGCCACCATTGATTTTTTCCAGGTTCTCCACACGAGATTTCAGCTTTCTCACTTCTTCCGCTGGAAGGTTAAAGTAAAATGCTAGGGAACGTGCTGCCACAAATGCAAGCCTGAAATACCTAATTCTAATAGAAGGGACAAGGCAACACAATAGATATGGCCACTGAGTTTTGCAATATTATTAATATATCTTTTTTTAGTAGGGATATCTGGAGTTTAAATGACAACTTTGGAACTTGTTAGTCTCTGAGAAGAAGTAAGACCTCAGATCTCAGGGGTTTTCCTATCCTACTCAACCCAGGACTATATAACCCCTCATCAAAGGTTTTTATTCTTTATCCATTCTTTCTGTCCATTTGTAATATCTTAGTGGCAGTCACCACCAAGCTGAATGTGCTCCTCCTCAGTTCTCTGGCTTGATATCTCTGGTACTTGGCCTCTGCCAGCTTACATCCCCTGCTTGTATTTCTATCCCATTCAACATTTTGTTCCTCAGTTATTTCTTACCCAGAGCAATGAGTCCAAAAAGCAATCCAAGGAGAAGCAGCCAGGCCAGCAGCAAACCCAGGAGCCATTTCCACCAGCTACAGCAGGAACCACAAGGACACCAGGATGGTGCTGATCCAATTGCACCCCCCACATCACCATTTCGTATTTCTGGAAGAAGGAAGGGGCAGTGTCCTGGTTAATTAAGATTTCCTTGACTTCAGAGCCAAGAGTCTCTTGAGAATAAGGACACCAAGGGCTATGGAGTAAAATCTCTGCAGCCCACTCTGCACATGGTGGGTGTAATTCTAGTCCCTTTAGAAGCTGCGAACAGCATTCCCAATGGGAATTCCAACAAGGGACAACACTCAGTGCTTTTAAAATAACAGCTGAAAAATGTGATCCCCTGGGGTAAGTTTTTTGTACAGTTTTGAGCCATAAATGAAAGCAATAGCCAGCACAGCCTGTCTGAGCCCTCTGCTCCCCGTAAATCTGTCCTGGTAGCAGGATGCAGCTGTGCTGTCAGCTATCTGATTTTCCTCAGTAATAAAAAAATACCCCAATGGCCCACTCCTCCACATTCAAATCACTGCTACCAATTTCTCTGATGTGTGCTCCGCTTGTTACAGACAGAGTAGTCACCTGAACGTGCCGTCCCTCAGATGTAGCACAGAGATCAATCCCATCACTCAAAAACAATTGTTTTTTTGTATACTGTGCTTTGGTGCTACCTCCAGTGAAAGTCAGAATCGCACCACTTACCTGCATAAGTTGCTTTGTCCCTTGTTGGCACGGATTTCAGTCCTCCTGTTTCAACAGCAGTAAAAGAGGTTTTAATAGTCTTTCTATGCACGATCAAACTTAGAGCATGGGCTTGCAACAGGAAGGTAGTAATGGAGACAGAAGGAAAAAGTTCTATTGCACTGCCACAGGGACAAACTCTTACCATTTGCATCTGATTTTAGGCCAGTATCTGTAGCGTAAGAAGAGGAAAATCCCTGCTTCTCTTTCTTCAAGGTGTCTTCTACAAAGGATCCTTAACAGGAACCGAATATAATTAAAATCATTACACATAAGTTCAACCAGGCCTATCTTCTTTCATTGGCAACAGGTATGTTTTTTACTGGGAAGCCACAACAGCTCTGCCTGTTTAAACTAGATCTAGTTTCCGCTTTCAAAGCTCCTGAGCTTTGTGAAATGTTCCCTTCAAATGCAAAAGCTAGACCTAGATTGAAGCTGTCATGTTTAAAGGCTAACTGCCAGCCAGAGCTTCTTGTTTGACTTGCAGGGGTTTGAGTCAGGTGCAGTGTCCTAAACTCTGAACATCTCCTATGATCATCCATCTTCCATTTCTCTGCCCTCAGGATACCCACACATCCCAAAAAAGAGAAGTTACCTCCATTAAGCCCAGCGCTAGAGGCACTAAAGACTTTGCCACTGTCCTTTGTCATGATCAAAAGCTCCATCTCCTTCTTTGCTGGGGCATTCTCCTTCTCCAGCAGCACGAACTTGCAGTCTTTGCGCAGAATGTCATCTCCCTGGGAGCTCAGAACAGTTCCTCCTGGAATATTCGTAAAGGATGAGGAGGAGATAAGTGTGGGCCAATGAGTCATAACTACAAGCCGCAACACTTTTGTTCATTAAAATAGGTTAGTCCCATTGTGATTGGGGTTGCCACTGCTATAAAGACCCAGTAAGAGACACACTGGTCACTGAAGCTAAGAGGAGAGCTGTGTGTGTCATTAGATTTCTTTAGAGATGTGTATTTCACTAGCAGGGGAGCAACTGCTATAAGAAATGGAGAGCATCTGGAGTTCAATCACATATAGAAATTATTTGCTCAATGACCTCTTCGTTTCTCAAACACACTTACTATAGAATAAGAGAAACTCAGTCTGAGAGAGACATTCAAGAGGCATCAGAGCTGGCATATCTCAAGCTGAGGAGCACCTTTAGCAGATCTGCTCTGTCAAGCACAAAGCACTCCATATCCTTTGGAGCCAGGTGTGGTTACAAGGCATTGAACTAGCTTACTGAGGTAGAGCACAGGCCAAACAAGGCTCAAAAACATTGATATGGGCACCCTTCTGCCTTTATGCAGTATCAGGTATGACTGGAATGGTGTACAAACCTGAGTTTGCACACAAATTTAAACAACATTGAAAATCAAGATAACCAGAATGGTACTATTCCACTATTCTAGCACAAACCTGGAATAAACCTGTATTAGAAATGTTATCATAACTTCTGTGGTATTTACATCTATTTTTAAGATTCGTCTTTGGGAGTCCTTGGATTACAAAAGAAACTTGGCTTCCATGATATGAAAATTAAAAGACTAATTTATAGTTCTCGGAGTTGCATAAAAAAGCCAAAAAAGATTAATCCTAACTGTTCAAGGATGAAAGACCAGTAGAAAGATGTTAACTCCTCTCATTAAAAAAACCCCAAACCCCTGATGCTGTATAAGTCATTTCCTGGATTTTTGAGTGGTTGAGGCTGGTAGTACTGCAAAATGATGCTTAAGAGCAACCTTAAATTGTTTTGGATTCAAATGAAGCACAATTTCACATGCATGATCTCCTATCCAGTTGCCTACCTGTTGAGCAAAAATAGCTGCAATTAAATCATACGCATTACCACAAAGTGGAGGAGATCTGAACCAGACCAGCTCATTCGCTCATTCTTAGCTTCTGTCTCATTTGCTTTCTTTTCAGAAAGGTAGTGGTGGGAGACTTGGCTAACGGCAAGTCATGCTCCTGAGGAGCCAGGTATTTGTTAGTGTCACTCAGCTAGCTGCATCTCTAACTCATTTTTATCATGATATGCTTGTACCAGGCCATGCCTAAACAACTGTGAATGACACACTCACCTGCTGAGGCAGACACACCACTACTTGCCATGGTGTTGCTCTGAGAAGTGTTCTTCACTCCATATGCTGCAACGAAGAAATTTAAGAATGAAAGAGATGAAGGATAACAAGGTACCTACACACACCAATCATTTAAAAAATCTTTTCTCATTCAGGTTACCTAGGACAAAACAAACAAGCAAGGGCTTCCTCAGCAAGCAAATCTCTAGTGCTTACACAGACACTGAGAGCTGTTCCTGCACATGCAAAGCAGAGGAAATGTTCCTTAATATCCCCTCATACCACATTACTCCACACTACAGAAGACAGTAACAAAGGAGCCTCTGTCAATATGAACTTTCTGGTCACTACAGAAAAGGTGGGAGAAGGCAGCACACATTGGTGACCCTCACACTTTCTCTAGGCTTAAATTGTTGCTGACCTGCTGAGGCTGCAGTAGCATTCTGGGTCAGGGTTGAAGAGCTTGGAGACAGGTTGTTTTGAACTCCAAATACTGCAAAGAAAAACATAGCAATGGGGGTTATAGGAATCCTTCAGTGCAGGTGGTATTCTGGGTAAAGACAAACCAAAACCAATTATAACAATGACAGCTTCTCCCAAGAAAATTCACTAGCTAGCTGGAGGCATCACAGGCCTAAGCATTTCTGTACAAAGATCTTCCTTACAAAATTTTTCCTTAGATCATTTTGCTGTATAACTTATCGTTGGCCCAGGACAATAATGGCAGCCTTTTTAAAACATTATCTCAAATTAGATTGCGAAGCCTCTCTCACGGCTGTATGGACATTTCGGCTTGGAAGGTGGCTCCTTTGATGCCAGAATCAGTGTGACAATACTAGTGCAGTGTACAGACTCCTCTTATACACCCTGCTCTCTCTGCAGGCACAGTCAGAGACACTGCATGATGGCACTGTGCTGTGTAGATATAGCATGTGTGACTGTGAAAGGAAGAGAAGTGGTTTAGTGACACTGAAGAGAGTCTGCCAGAAGTCATGAGCCAGGTGAAGGAAAGTGAAATTACAGAGGAAACTGGCAGAGGAGCAGTGGGTCTCTGTGGATTAGGACACATGAGTTTATTTTTTAAGGCATTAGCCTGAGTTGTTCTAGGGAAGAAACAGGCTGGCCTAACAGGTGTCTTTCTAAAGAGAAATTTTTCTCCTTGAAAAATTTCTAGTTTTCCCTGCCTCCCAGATAAAAATAGTCAGGAGCTAACACCAGCTACACAGAGCCAACTCAGAATAAACACACCGTAACCAAAGAATTACTGGGGTTTGCAGACAAGCTGCTGCCACTGAGATGAGGAACAGAAAAGAAACAGAGTGATACAGGTATTACTTCATCGTATGTGTCTCCCACGTGGCGCCATGAAAATGCGAAGGGAAGAAGAGACAAATCTGACCTGTAGAGGAAGTGCTCAGGCCTGCATTCAGAGTATGATTGCTGGGAGCCAAGTTATTTGGAACACCAAACACTGCAAAAAGAGGAAGTGAAATGTTATTACTTCTCTGAAATTGGAAATCCAGCACCTGAAAGTCAGTGGCACAGTCACAGAAATTAAAAGTCAGAGTCCCTTGGAAATGCAGTTAGTGAAAATGCACAATAATTGCACAGAGGAAAAATCTTGAAAATTGTGACACCAAACCACTCTTTTACTGAACTGACAAAGGGGAGAAAATCCTACATCATGCAAGTTGCACTCATGAGATACTGTGAGAAAGCAAAGCTTTTAATAGTATGCTATCAGAAAACGTTGTGTGTTATTTCTCTGCAGCTGGGAAATGCAGCATCCTTAGCATTTAGAAGTGGGCCTTACAAGGTATAATCACACTCAACACTTATTGATTACATCTTTAATATATGAGGACTGAAGGGTTAGGCCTGGTCGGTCATTCTTATAATGGGCCAAGATAACAATATTAACTAGACTCTCAAACTAGTTTTGATAGGAAATGTGAGCCTGACCTCAGCAATAAAGCTATCATCAAAATTTGACAGATCAGCCAGTCAGGACAATAGATCCTCACAAAGAGGGATTTTCAAATACAGTCAGTGTAGAAGCAGAGAGTACCAAGTTACAGAATACCAGAGAAAATTCAAGCATATCTCCTGCCATATCTCCTGCCATCTTGATTCTTCCATAATTTTAGTTCTTCTTGTTGTGCAAAAAAAAAAAGCACTGCTGTTGACTCAGTTTCAGCATAGAGTTACATCCTTCAAGCCTGGGTGGTCCAGGGAGCATACCTGATCCTGTAGAGTGAGACATAGCATTGACCAAGGAAGAGCTGTTATGGTATCCACCAAGAGAAGACCCAGCAGGCAGAGTGGAGGACCACATGTACGAAGGGAGGGCAGTATTCAAGATGGTGGTATCATATGTTCCCGACACTGTAAAAATACCAAGCAAACAGAAGTGGTTTTCAATGAGACCAGGCTTGTAGCTTAGCACGTATTGCAGGTTTACATAGCAAACAACTTAATCAGCTTTAAATTTCAATTACCTTTGTGGAGTCAACACAATGACTCCAGGTTAACATGGTATAACTGATCTCAAATGCCAGCTGATTACCGCCTACGTGAATTTTAACCAGTGGAATAAAGATTGGCCTGAGACCATGATCATTCACAGAACACCTTGAAGAGATTTCATTGCTTGTAGATGCCAGAATAAAACCAGATACCAGAATAAAACTGACACCAGAATAAAACACTTTGGTCCGCCATTCTGTAAATAAATCATCCTGGGCCATGGGACATATGACTTTTGCTTCCCACATGTAGTACTCATTGGTTCACTAGTGTATTGGACTAAAATTCCCAGTTTTAGACAGGATTTGAGCCACGTGCAAGAAAAAGGTTATTGCTTACTCCTAGATTCTGGTGGAGGACAGTGGAGTGAATCTGAATACCACTGCCTCAAACACTGTGGTGAGGCTTATAAATAATAAAAGCTGGTTATAGTAATTTAAGTACCACTTCTATTATTATCAAGTTCTAGTGATCTCTGAAACATGTGGTGTGGCAAATAAATCAAACACTGACCCAAATATTCTCTTCAGTGCCATCTCCATCTTGCTTGGAGGTAAGAGATCAAATGGCTCTAAGACATATCTGCTTAGACCTCTCGTCTCTGCCAGAAGCACCTCTGAATTAAAGTTGGTGGCAGCAAGAACTGGCTCATTTTTATGGATATTAGACAAGTCACTGGAAAGCTTCCCAAGATGGCTCTTGTTAGGGCAACATCTAGACAGCCCTCCAGCATTCTGACCCTTTTTCTGTACTGCCACCACCATCTGGGACAGAGACCATGTATTCTTACTCGGATGTTCTTAGCAACTGGGTATTTTTATGGCAAATAATTTTTGGAATGGTTCCAGCATTGTTAACATCCTCTTCCAAGTACCTGACTGAGAGCTCTCAGTAACCATCTTTGTCTCCACCACAGCCTTTTTCGGTATCGGAAGCGTACTTGATGGTGATCGAGTAGGGCTGCAGCTGGCTGATCGACTTCCTTTCAGTAAACGTTTCACATCATCCAACTCTGTCCCTGGCAGGAAAAGCAAATGTCCAGACTCACCCAAAAGCCATTGTTTCATTGATCTGTCATCTTGCCCTGGATAAACCATTCAGTGGCATTTACCTGTGTCTGCGAAGATGTAATTTCTGGGGGTGCCTTCCGGGGGTGCCACTTACTTAACAACAAAGCTTCAGGGCCCCATTTCTGGGACTAAGTACAACTACATCCCTGCAAGACCACCACCTAACCCACAGCATGCTTCCTTGTTTGGAAAGGGGAAACAAATGAACGTTCTTAGTAGGAAGAAAAGGATGACATGCTGCTATCTCCCACCATGAAGACTGGGTCCCAGAGCCATGCAGATATATCCAGAGTAGCAACATCCTCTACCTTATAACTGATCCTCCTGGAATAAAAGCCACGGTACTTACATCTGCCAGAGGGAGATGCGCTCTGCAGTCGGACTCGTATTTCACTCTCTGGGAAGAGAAAAAGCAGATCATGAATATGGAATGAGATGTATTTGTGCCCTGGGCTGGAAATGAATCTTTAGGCTGAAGTGAATTCTTGCCTTCTTGCTGTCTATGGTCCATCTTGCTGTCTTGCTGCTTGATCTGAGCAGTACTCATGGCCCATGTGAATTGGTTGTAAATTGCTTTGGGTGACTTTTTGTTTTGGGGTCACATTTTGCTATTTTTAATTCCAGAGAGCTGTATTTCACTCATTGAGGGCCTCTGTGTAAGTCACTAGCATTGTTACTGCCAGACATACAGAAGGCCTAATTATGCAGTCCTCAATCACACTGATATTCCCACTTATTACTGTCCTTCTGGATGAAAACCTAGAGAGTCAAAATAAGCTTACTAAATACACAAATTCCCTACTACTTCTTGGCTAAAACTCACAGTCACCCCTACAATGGGCTGTATGATTTAGCTCTCACAACCTGCTGACTTCTCTTTGGCTCACTGAATGTAACCAAGCCAGTTTTAACCCAGCATTCTCACCAGGTACTCGATTTTATTATTGACTTTTACTGTCCAGCACAAGAAACTATAGTGTTAATGAAACTTGTTGACTTGGTTGGGGCAAGCCTTTAAGCTTCCTACTCACAAGCAAACTGATCAGCCAGATCATGTGGTACATGGTCCTCAAGATGAAATCTGACAGTGCATGCACTATAAAAGAAACACTAGCTTTAGCATTCATATGGAGAAACTGATGGATTGGAATTATTTTCTGAAGTAATATGAGAAGCTGGAGCTGATTCCCTGGTGTCTGTTTCATCACATATATTTATTATTTACTTAGTTCTGCTGGGAGATCAGGTATGTAGTGTGCTAGAGGAGACTGTGAAGATCTGAGGTAGAATGATTGGAAACTATGACGCTCTCTAGGAGGAGTGTGCAAAAGTACACTTTGATTTATATCCACTGCTAAAATTAACTTGGATAAAGTGACATTATAGTTTCCTCTTCAAGCAACTGGGAACAGATATTACACTCTTATGGAGCAGTATAATCCTTCTTTCTCCAACACTGTTAATAAATTACTAGAAGAGCTGAATGATTTAAACAATGCAGAGCTTTACAGTGAGCTGGCTAAACAGACCGCAGCAAATCCATAATTTCCTCATCATCTCCTTACTACCAGCATGAGATCATTTCAGGATACAGCCTTATGGTTTGTAAGATAGATCACAGTAGGAGGAATATGAATACAATTATTGTAAATATGTCAGAGGTGGGTCATAGAGCATGGATGGACTGAGTTTATGGTGGTGAACCTAGAATATGGAAGACTATGTCCTATGCCCTCAGATGTCCAGGTCCTCAAGTAGATCCTCCTTTCTGACACAGTCCAAGCCACCATGACCTTTACTAGGGTCAATTTTTACACCAAGCTTGTTTAAGCAATTGCTTACAGATAAGTGGTTCACATCTGCAGTGGTGTAAATTCAGATACTTCATCTGACTGCTCAACATTTAAACTGGCTGATTCCAGATAAGGAATAGGTCCATTTAACACACCCTGAATCACGCTGAAGAAAACAAAGGAGCCTTCTAAAAGAACAGCATCACTCACCTCGACTTTGGCTTCTCCCTCTCGTGGAGGCAGATGCTGTGAACAGCAATGAGAGAAAAGCAATATTAGGCTTTACTGCCTGTGACATCTCTGAAAATGAACACATGGATCTTGCTCAGAGTGCTCAGATTCAGACAGTAACCTTTACTTGGGGGACAGCTGGGGGAATTGAACCCTTAGAGTTTTTACCAGGCCTCCTTTAGACCATAAAGTATCTTAAAGAATCAGTATCACCTTTAGCATTTGGCCTCCTCTCTAAGCCAGAAAGATGCCTGATCATCTTGTTTTACTATCTGCACTGAGTAAAATCAGCAGCTCAAAGTTTGGACAGGGAAAACTTATACTTGTTGACAATGTTCAGTGTACATATATCCCTTGATAGACCATTCATCTTTCCATATAAACATGTTGGAGCCTAGAAAAGAGTTACTGGAAAAATATATCCAGCAATTGCTCAAAATCCTAAAGGTCTGGGCTTTCTTGCTTGGAGCTGTTCTCCCAGCTATGGTGCAGGTGGGGAGGAAATGTTATGAAGCATCTCATGTTCTCCTGTCCATGCCCTATGCCATATGGGGATCGTCACAAAAGCAGCTGAGAGTAGCAGATACAAAGCATGCACCCTCTATTTGCATACGTATCAGCTAGAGACCCTGCTGTCAGCTGTTAATGTAAATCCCAAACAACTCCCCCAAAGTCACGGAGATGCACTGGCTGCCCAATACAGAGGCAGCTTAGGTAGAACAAGACACAGTAATGTGCAAAAAAGCCACCATAGTCACCAACTCACATGACCTTGCCATAATGTTCAGAGGAACAGCTCTAAAAATAACATACCAAACTCCTTTCTGGGAAACTCAGGAGAAGAGTTGGCACTGGAGCTCCCTGTAAAGAACAGAAAGGTGTTCATTAATACTTTGTGCAAGATCATTAAAAGCTTTCTAAAACATGTCTTCCTGGCAACTGTCTAATCCCAGTGGGCAATAAACATCTCCATTTTAAAAAAGAGCTATTCAGGATGACATGAAAGAGCTGCTAATGTCTTTCAACAAAAATATGTCACAACTCCTTTTAGGAATGAGCATTACTATAAATAGGACTTAATCATTAAAATGTGTCCCTGATGGCTTATTTCCTAGCAAAACCACAATGGGATTCTTGTCCTATTTGGGACAATCCTGCATTAATGTGACCTCAGAGAGCACTACACATTGCTTCCTTTCTATGGCATGTTCTGTGATACCTTCATATGTTGCATGGCGGCTGACATAGGTTTTTCTTTCAAACGTTGAGCCAGGTGATTTGGTGAGAGTAGAGCTGGGAGACTGGGTTTGTCTGTAGCCAGAAGATGATGATGATGAATTCAATCTACCACTTCCACCTACAGGTAAAACAAAACACCCTCAGCAAATTAAAGATATGCCCTGGATGTACACTCTGGATGCTCTGGATGCTTTATGTTACTGTCTTCTGACCTGGACAAACTTGCATTGGTACCTTACAACTAGAGACAGGCAAGAACCACATTTGGGTCCAACTCTGACTGTCCTCAGCACAGAGAGGAGTATTGGTTATCTTTGTGGTTTCAAAACAAATCTTGTCAATGATAAATATGACAGCAGGTTTTGGCCTAGGGGGATGAATGAGCCATCTCCCCTCAGCCGGAATAAATCTGTCTCTGGTTGGTGCTGGGTTTTGGTTTGGATACAGATCCACCTGTAAACTCAAGTGTTATATGGCAGGGGCCACAAAAATTGGGAGACTGTTAAGCCAAACTCAAAGTGCTGAAGGATGCAGTTCATGCAATAAGGGAAAGAACACTGTCACTTAGTCATGCCTTAGTCAGTCCATTTTCTGGAGAAGTGACTGAGGTGTGCGTCAGGCCCAAGGCAGCCTGGAGGTTGCTAGTGGCTGTTATATCTAAACAGAGGAAATAATTTCCCTTCCTAATTCACACCAGTGCTCTGGAGAAAAAACTGAGCAGCCATAACTAAAGTGGTCATACTCTTGAATGAAATCTAATGCTGGAGTATGATCAGAGTGCAGCAAAAAGGGAGCCCTGTGATAAAGTGCAACATATCCACGCTGGTCAGCAAGATCAGCCTGGATATTGTTTACCCATCACTGCAAAAAGAGCACTGTGATCTCAACAGAGTGTTTTCTTGCTGACTTTCCCCTCTAAAAGGACCTGTTTTGTTCAGTAACTTTTCTACTTAACTCAGCAGAAAGAACTACTACACACACAAAAGACAATATTTTCTAGGAAATTCTCTAATAGTATTCTATCCTCAGAAAGATCAACAAAAAGATTAAACAAAATTATATTTTAAACAAAAATGGTCAGAAAGATTGTGATTGGGAAATCCTGAAAGAAGGGAAATTTGGTTTCCTAATGACTCCTTAAAAACAGTGGGAATGGCATTTTTTTGTTGTTGTTCTCCTGAAATCAAGTTGTCCCTGTGGAAAACAGGACCTTTGCCATTTACTCACCCATCCTCACACCCAGCTTTAGGGAAGGAATATCTTTGCTTTGACTATTTGCCACTTCTACTTTCATAAACCCTGTTTTCCTTACCTCTGCCTCATCCTACTTCCCTGCCCTGAATCTCTCCTTAGACCATTTATGCTGCTTTTGCTCTCTGTTTCCTCACTGTGCAATGTCTTCATTCCTTACTTGAAGTCACATAGCTGCTGCCATGGGTGTAAGACCTCTTTTCCACTCCGCTCCCTCCAGTGTGAGATGATGTTTTGAGACCACTGCTGCTCCCTCCTTCTGGAATAGATAAGCACAAAATGAGACATTCTCTCAGGGTAAAAGAGGAGAAGAGCAAGGACACTGCAAGACTGTCCTCACACTCAATTACAACTACAGCTTCACATTTGGTGAGATACCAGAACTGCAGAGAAGTGCCTTGGCAGAGCAGATAAGCATTCACACTGCAGACTGAGCAGGTTTGTATACAAGTTTTGCTCCATACATGGACTGAGGGATAGTCCTGTTAACCCTCATCATAAATGAGATGATAGTACAATTCCTTTCCAAACCAGCTGCAGCAAGCTAATCAAGAATATGGTGATATAAAAAGCATGGAGGATTCTTCCCTACTTGGGACAGGTATCTGCCTACAGAGGTAGAAATCACCCATGTGACATCTGATATTACCCAAAAAGATTCACTCACTGTTGTCAACTGGGTGAGATGGCAGGGGAATACACTGCAGCCCCAGCAGTGGAGGATGCAGACCCATTACTTTTGACCCTTGTCCCCAAGAGACAGTCACTACTGGAGACCCTATATCTGGGCTTAAGCCCTTTGAGAGCCAGGTCTACCAGTCTTAGTGGACTGTTTCTGACAATACCCACACAGCTCCCCACATACTGGTCCTTCTCTCCACCAACAAGTGTTTTGGGAGAGGCATTTCTGAGAATAGCTTTTCTTTGTGTGCAAGTCTTTCTGCACTGAGACTTCCTGCACCCGAGGATTTATGGAAATAGCCGAGTCAAATAGCATGGAGGGACACAGAACATTGAGCAGAAGTAATGCAGTGACTGTCAATTACTTACTGGGTGGTAAGGACGTCAGTCTTGTGGTTACGGTCTCTGTAATAACTGAGAAAAGAAAAGGGTGCAGAAGTAATGGCATGTTAATATAGCCAAACAAGATGGAAGAGCATGACTCATTCAAAGAAGATTGACTCATTTAAAGAAATGTTCCTTAAGACCACACTGCCTGGGAGCTGCAGTCTCATTGCACACAATGCTGTGTATTTGTTTGCAGGCCTTTCTAACTCTACAGTAACTAAGAACATCAATGCCATGAAATACTTTTTTTCTTTACAAAATTCCTGTAAAACATGGATGTATTATTATTTCTGGGCACTTCTGAACCACAGCCATTGCTGTAACAGCAAAGCCCATGGTCAGACCCCTTACGAGGCTCCTGATAGCTAATTCCCATAATGCCAGCAAGAAACTTATTCTCTGTTTTACACACAGCCCAAAAAGATATCTAAAGAACATTGGGCATCGATACCAGAGGTAGGAGAAGAATCCAAATGTCTGCATTGCTGGTTAGGAATGTTATCACAGGGCAATCATCTGTGGTTAAACAATCAGGTCATGCTACATGTCTCTAAATACCTGATCCTGGCCCATTCTATTCCTTAACAGAGAGATGAGGGACAGGTGTAGAATTTAGTTCTAGACCTCTGGCCAGCATTCAAACCCTTACAAAACAGGGCATCTGCTTCTGGGATTTTTAGTGTGTGACATAAAAATAAAAAACATTTTCCTTACGTCTTTCAGTAACTTCTGATCCTTCTTGCCTCGTTTTCTTCGTTACAGAATCCATACCATTGCCACCTGCAGGGACAGCAGAGAGACTCAGAGCTCTGTGAATAGTAGGAGACGACAACAGCTCCCCACAAGTCCCACCACACCCCTTCAGCTGGGGACTAGACTGCCTAGAAGGCATCTACACCAGGGATTATACACTGCCTTTCCAGAGCCATGTGAGTATTGCTAATAGACCAGCATCACTTGCCTACAAAACTGGATGCTGCACAATGCAGCAGGGCTGGAACAGCAGGCGGGGTTGTAAAGCCAAGAGGTGACACAGGGGCAATTGAAGCAAATCCACTCAGTGCTGGAGAAGTTTAGACCTGGATTTATATCCAGATGTTGTGGTACTAAAACTATGGTCTCCATTTGTGCCCTGGTAAAGGCTTGACTGAAACCACGGGATCCAAGTGCTACTCCCACACATCTGCTCTGGGCAGGACTCTACAGCAGAGGATTAGAAATGCAGGCAGACATGCAGTACCTGCACCACGCCAGTACTGCCAGAAAAACCTAACCAGAGATATTGTTGACTGTTGACAGTAACACTGTGCACTCTCAGGGTACATCGCTGCTAGTGCCACAGCACTGACTTTAGTGAAGCAGAAAAACACTGGAGGTACCTTTAAAGTAGCTATTTTCAGCAGCAAGGAACTGAAGGTAGGAAGTGCTTTATCTTGCTTTACAGGCAGAGCAGAGATGGTTTGGAGGTCCTGTCTGCAGCTTTGGAATCTGATCTAATTTAATGCCAGCTCAGGTCAGTCTACACAGTATTGCAATCACTGCTGTGAATGCTGTGTACACTCTTCTTCGTGACTTAGATCCCTCTCTAGTCAAAATTACAATCTCTAGTAGAGGTGTGACTGTCTGCCAAGGCAGGAATACCACAAAGAAACATTGTGATTGCGGAAAAGAAACACCAGCTAGAAGAGAAAATACTTCTGTCAGAAGGAAATATACAGTTGCTCACTCTTAGTCTCTCTAAGATAACATTTCATCTTGTGCAGCCACAAACAATGAGAAGGAAGAGCTTTTAATTTGTGTACAAGGTGATAGTAGGCCAAAACTCTCCACTGCATCTGAAGATTCCTTCTTAAACTGAAAGCCCAGCTATACCAACAACTACACACTTAACAAGTGGAGTCTAAAAAAAAACTCTGGGCAAAATTCCTTCCAAGTTTTAGAGCTCAGCTTGAGACAGAACCCAAGACCATGTTCTCCAATTCAGCCACCATTTGAGTTTGATCCTCATGATTCCATTTATCCTTCTGCAAAGTGACTACCAAGTGGCCCCCTTGATGTTGCGCTTGTACAGCCCACGCATAAATAGTGACACAAGGCAGGAAGCAGCAAGGAATCTGCAGGAATAGCTGAAGTTCCTATTCAGTTTTTTGAGCAGGTCCTGCTATTCCCACAGCTGGACAGGAACAATTTGAGCATAGAAGGCACGCAGTCAGGCAAGCCAGTTTAGCCTCCTATCACAGACTCAGCTGAACTTTGCAGACAAGACCCACAGCACCCACAGCCCTCACTCTGCACCTCAGACCTTGAGCTTGGCTAAGCAGCCCTGTAAACACGGCTCCCGAGGCCACATCCAAGTCCTTACACAACCTTGGCGACAGGATACTACCCAACCCTTACAGTGCTTGCTGGCACTGGGGATTTCCAAGGGATTATCCAGGGGGCTGATTCCAAGCAAGACCAGAGCTATATGCATTAGGAGAGTTCCTCCTCCAGCCAGTCCCCTGCAATGGAAGGGTTCCCAGTCATTCACTCCGAGGAAAGGCAGTATCCCTGCTACTCTTCCTTATTGCATCAACACTGGACGCATCTTTCAAGATCCTTCCCTAAAAACAGATGCTGGAAGCTGTTGTCTAGATGTCAGTACTGTTGGCTTTGCCAGTGGTTTTGGCAGGGAACACAGCTTTGTATTTGGAAACTGCTTTCCTACTGCTTTGTAGCCCCAGAACTCCACTTCCTTTCTGCTGTAGGGAAGTGGTACTGCTTATGGATGCTGGAAGAGGCCAGCACCATCACAGAGCGAATGCATCTTCTGTATCTTTGCCTTCCCTTGAGAAAGGGGAATGTCTTGTTCTCATGCCAATCCAAAAACAAACAAACAAAAAAAGAGGTTAAACCACATCTTTGGAGCCATACATGCCACAGCCCAGCCCAAGCACATGGTGCATTTTGATCTACGTTGCATGTGTGTTTGCCACGTGAATGCAAAATCAAGCCCAGGCTCCAGCAGGCTGATTGAGCTGGATTCCCATTATCTGCCAAGACTGACTCATTTCACCAGCTCCTCTCTGGATTCACAAAGACATTGCTGTGGGCTATGTCTGTGGCAAAGCAACAGTGCTGTTGAATCAGAGAAGCCACCTGCAATCATCTCTGAGCAACAAGCAAGAACTTGTGAAGTGGGATCACTCTCAAACAGTGCAGGAAGCGTGAGACAGGGCAACTCTACGGCCGCTTCAGCATAAGCTCAGGGGTTGCAGTGCACTTGTGGCACCCACAAAACCAGGGAACTTTAAGACCTTACTGGCATCAGAACCAGGAGAGGACTAGCACTGCCACACTTAGGCAACTGCATTGTCTCTGAACAGCACTGAAAGGAAGGACAGTAATGGCTGCCCAGCTTTGCAAGGCATGCTTAGATCCGTGCTTTCCACATAAGCCCAACACGGCAGGGTGCCTCCTGCACCCCCCGTTCCACCTGACTGCAGCGCAGCGCACTTGCAAGGATGCTAAGCCAGAGAGGTGGCACATTCAAACCTCTTATTATTTGAGAAGTTAGGTATTGTGTGCAATGGTAATAGAGTTTATTACAGATATTTTTCAAAAGGGAGAGCAATAGCCACAAAGACATCTTTTAATGGAAAAATGAAAGCAGGCATGTTTCAGATTCTTTTATTCCTCCACAATATCCTTCCAGTTTTCATGTCAGAATGCAGTTACACTCTCCCAGCACATCCTTTCAGCTCTCTCCTCCTTCCATTAATAAGGTTCCTGCTGTGAGACACTCCATTAGCAGAAAGAGGCACCAGCAGGTGCTGAGATTAATAATATTTAATGTCAGTGGAACCTTTTGATCACAAATACTCTGGGACTCAGTAGATGCCTTCAAACCATGTCACTGACTATATTAAAAGCAAATGCCATGGCTTCCATCATATCAAATGTCTCTTAGGGTGCCCCTTCCTCTTAATCAAGCCTTTCAGGTGCCACTGCCCTGGGTCTAACAGAACTGATTAAAAATGGTCTCTTATCTCTCTTTTACCCCACAGTCTAGGAATCTGACCTTCTCATTCTGCTTTAAAAGCTGTTCCTTTCCAGTTATTCTACCCAAACGAACACAGTCAGAATCAAATCAACCAAATCCTGCTTCCAAATCTGCTCATTTTGTAGACTCACTGAAATGATGCTGATGCCAGGGAAGCACATCGGATGCCCAACCAAAGCTTGGATGTGCTGTAGGAACCAAATTCTGCTCTGCCCAACACCTGTCCTGGCTTCTTTGACACCAGTATGTGCTCATTTCTCAGAGCACAAGCAGAAGCACTGCACAGACTTCACTCCACATTTCCAGGTGACTTCCTTTCAACAATGTGTCCTCACTGTACCTGCTTAATTGAGCTACCCAAAGAGAAACACGCTGAAGCAAGGCCATTCTGACCTGCACAAGCTTCTCACCTCTGGCACAGAAAGGGAGACAAACAATCTGGTATTATACAAAAAATGACTGTAGAACAGGAAAGAGCTGCTGTCACCATTTCACAGATAAAGAAACTAGTCAAAGAAGGACAAGTGACTTCCCCAAAGTCACTCCACCAGTCAGTCCAAAAACAGGAAAGGAAGACAAGTCTTTTTACCTTATGCCACTACATACAAATTGCTAGACCTGTTGCAGAAAGATTTCAAATGGATTCTCAAATAAGACTTTCCCGACTTACTGTGACAAAGCTTCAAAAGCACCTTTCAAAAAATGCCTCCTAATATTCTATGACAAAAATGTGGCCCAAAGTCCATAATCAATGAGTCACAGCTGACAAATAAACCCACTTGTCTGAGACAAAGCAAAGCTTGTCCACGGCAACAGAAACTTTCACTCAGAAGCAGTTCCAGGCATTCTCAGGACTAGGGATCAATTCTTTAGTACTACACCCTGCACTCACCACCTGAAGCTCTGATTTACAATCATTATTCCTCCAGCACATTTCAGATCTGCTCAGTTTGAAAAACAGCCAAGAGATGATCTGCATTTTACCTTGCTGGTACCCTTATGGAACAGAGAACATTCAGCTAAACTTTATCTATTTGCACGGTAGTTTCACAAAATGCATTAAAAATTTACCCAGAGCTTGGCTTCACATTTCTTATCTCCCAGCAGGTATAGTTCTCTCACTTGACACTCACTTTAAAAGAGCTGTATTCACTGACAAACACAAAAACAAAATGACCCAGCTCTTACACAATCTTATTTTTATATTGTATTCCCCACAGAAAAATCTAACACCTCCTCTATTTTGCCTGAGAATACAGCCTTGTTCTTCAAGGAATCTGGAAGACAGAAAATAAAGGATACCTTTTTTCTCTCCTTTTTTTTTTTTAGTAATGTAACTTACCTGCAGTGCTTTGGTTACTGAACTGAAAATCTGTTTTCTCCTCAACCGTTTCCTTTCTACCAAAATTTGCCACCTACACTTTATATCATGTCCTTCCAAAGGTGTGTGGAATCTGAGTGATCATCCAAAAATGTTCACCTCTTCTTTATTTAACCTGTTTTATTCTCACCCTTCTTCTGCTTTTCTATTCCCGTGCTCTTAAACAAGTCCCAACAAAGGCGTGTCGTGGTTTCCTGCCTCACCCTACCCTTCCAATTATCTGACACTCACTGGAAAAAAGATCTGCCTCCAGGAATCAAACTTTATTGAAAGCAAAAATGCTCCTACCTATTTGCTCAGGTAGATTAACTATTTAGATGCCAGACAGACAAAGGTGTGAAGGCTT